GCCCTTTCAGCTGTGGGGACGTTATAATATGACGGTCAATCCCAATATTCGCTGGTAAAGTGTAGCCCAAGAGTTTGCGGTGGGTGGTGTTGATTAGCTGCCTTCCCTCTAGTTTATCACTTACCAAATCTATATCGGACCTTCGTTTTCCACCCTTTGTCTGTTTAAGCCTTTCTGTTCGTATGGGAAGTAAACCTTAAAGTGGTGAGAGCTTCCTGTTGCTAAAATTCATTTGACAAACTTGAATTTTATGAACATTATATAAAGGAAAATGAACCACTGACCTCAGGTGATGCTTCAAAAAGAAGGAAACAGGAAAGACAGGAAAATACAGTTTTGGCCAAAATGTTCCCATACTGTTCAATATTGATGTTATTGTCTACATACATGGAGAAGTTATTGAGTAAGTACCCGAGTAGTAACAGAGAAGGTAGGGTATGATCGGACAAACATGTACGAGTTGTTATTCTGGTCTGTATAAGTTGTTTTGAGCATTTGTTTGTCAAAACACACATACACACCTGTTTTTTTTATAAAATGGTGTGCTTTTCGTATAATCTTTTTTGAAACAGATCAACGCTTTGTTCAGACAGTTTCTCTGTACTTGGTGTAGAGTCATGCCTCGTCACGTGCCAAAAGCTATAGGGTGTCAAATTGTTCGACTGTCCAGAAATGGTATGAAGCAAATGAACAATGTCAGAACAATATGATATCTCTAGTGCTACTGTATCCAGAATCCTGAAACATCATCGGACTACAGGAAACTTTATTCTAGGAGAGTCCACTAGTAGACGCCGAAAAACTATTGCTCGAGATGACTATATTTTGATCGGGTTAACAACACCTTACGACGGGAATGGCGTGAACACATTCATTCCAGGGTATTCAGAAGAACAGTGAATAGGAGACTGGCTAAACAAGGACTATCTGAAAACTGATATTAACCAGAATTCACCACCGTCGCCACGTTACTTGGTCAAAACAGCATGCCAACTTACAGTTAGGACACTGGCGACATGTCATCTTTTCCTATGAGTCCTGTTTCCGGCTTGTTAGAGCTGATGATAAAATTTGTGTTCGTCGTTTACCTGGAGAACAGATGAGGGAATACTGTGTTTCACCGGAGGTGGTGCAGTACATGTTTGGGCAGCTATTCATCGTGGTGGAAATACTGCTCTTCATATCCTCGAGGACAACGTTAATGGCGCCTTCAACAGGTATCACATGGAGACGATATTTCTGCCATATGCTAGGGCAAGGTTTGGCAAAAAGTTTGTGTTTCACGATGACAATGCCACTGCTCATAGTTTGTGTATTGTACAAGATTACATCGACCAGGAGGGCGTTAAAAGATTGCCATGGCCTGCAAAGTCTCCAGATTGTAATCCCATTGAGAACTGTTGAGCAGAACTGAGCCGGAAACTTACTAACCAGCTACTGTAGCCGAGTTGCAGCGCCTTCTAGTAACAAGTGGGGATGAAATCTTGGTTAATTACATCAATAACCTCATCGACAGCATGACACGTCGCCTTACGGAAGTTATTAGAGTACAAGGAGGACCAACCAAGTACTGAATGTTTAACAAGAACTGATATAGGTTATAGACGCTACTTATAATAATTTCATGTTATATTTTGTCATCATATATGTTTTGGTAAGGTTTTGTTGTCATCATATATGTTTTGGTAAGGTTTTGTTGTCATCATATATATGTTTTGGTAAGGTTTTGTTGTGATAAGTGAAATGCCCGAATT